CTCTGGCTACAAGATCCAGTGGGGGTACACTGCAGGGAACATCTGGGATCAATGATCATGGGTAGTATCATGCCAATCTACCCTAGGCCACTTGTGTTTGATGCCCGTAGGAGGCTCCATGCAGGGTGCCCCAGCCACAATCGGAGGGTTGTTCTGGCAGCTTTCACGACCATGCATGTGAGCACCTTGAGGCCCGTCGACCGCTGGTTGTTGAGAGAACAGGGTTTTCAGGTCCCAGACCCGAGTGACATCAGTCGTTACCTGTACGAAACTCTTCACGAACCCCACCTGCGGCAAAGGAGCCTCGAAGAGTGCCTTCGGCTGTCGATTGTTGAAAGGGATGCCCGAGATGTTATCGAGATAGTTTCGGACACTGAAACGAGTGAAACCTCGGTGTCCCTCCGTGACGAAGATCCCCTTGCTTGAGTTCCTCCTTTACCGTACTGCTGCTTTGCATGCCCGCACTGCCCCCTTTGCTGTACTGTAGAATTTGATGCATGTGCATGCTGAATATTTGTCAGGACCCGTCGATGCAAGAACCCAGGCCAGATGGATGCATGATGTCTGTCTTCTCTGTCGATGGTGACATGGGTTTTGAGATGACGACTGTCTGTCAGGAGCCCAGGGCTTGGGGACTAGGGGTTTTCCCGTTCCTATGTACTGCTGGTTTTATCCTTGGCTCCCCGCCCCCCTAATGAAACCACTAACCCGCGATTCGTGTGAAAGCCATGTTCCGCTGGGCAGCACAAGACTACGCGTGAGCACCTTTCTGCTATTGCAGCTGTTGGGTAGTGCTGGATGGTAATCTGGAAGTCTGATTTCCACAAGGCCTGTTGCTCCTACGCTTGTACTCGGATGACTGGTGATGTCCGTGGACCGAGTCCTGCAATAAAGCACATGACGGGTGAAGTTGGGGAGTGCGGCGATGCCCGTGCCGCACAGAGAGCTCACGACTACTGTCCTCTGTGAAGTGGAACTGAATGGTGGCGGATCTCGAGGTTTCACTGGCCCCTTGTGGAACACACTCAGGCTGCGAGTCGCCGCCCTGTACCCGAGCAAAGAAACTGACGAACTGACGGAATGATGAGTGAAGCAGCAGGAATGCAGGAACCTCTGTGAGCCCACGCGGCATGGCAACGACATGACTGTGGGCCGGGGATCAGGCCTTCCTCGTAAAGGGGAGATCTCAGTAACCGAGCCAGAGGGACGCGTTTCGACTGCAGGGTGCTCGACACCTTGTGGTTCAGGCATGCCAGAAAGCCTACCTTGTGGGCAAACCACGAGAGACCTTGCTGGCATCCTGATACAGAGGACCTCTTGGCAAACGAGAGAGATCTGCTGGGTGCTTGACACCCCGCGACGTTGTCAGAACCAGATTGCTCTTACCCCGTGGGTAAGCCACGAGCCTGGCTGGTACACTTTGCGACGACAATGCCCTGAGAGATGCTGGAGAACTCGCTGTAAGTCTTGAGCGGCACCAATGAGTGCTGCGGCACCGCCTAGATCTTCTGAATGCTCACTATTAGTATGCCACTACTACCTGGTGTAGAATGCCGCCGTATGCTTGAATGCTTGTGTGTTGGCCCAGCTTAGGTTCGTTGTGTATGCTTTCCCCGTCTTAGTCGAAAGCATGTGCGGCTTTCTGTCTGTTTCACGCCGACTCGTACCCACGAACCTCGCCTGGCATGTCCGAGTTGTGAGAGCCTAAACCCAAGGGGGAATTCCTGAGGTTTCTGTCCTTGATCCTTGGAATGGCGACCTTCCCTCCGCTGGGAGGCCTTTATGATGTAGGGGCTCATGGCTGAAAGGGTATATACAATGCAGGGGCCTTAGTAATGAGAACGGGGGTTCGGGGAGATAATATAGTACCATATAATATCACTATCATTATGTTAAGGAGGGTAATTGTTCTTACCTCTATACTAAGGTTTCTGGGTTTTGGGTTTACGCTTAGCGGTTTCGAGGTGTAGGGTTCAGCGGCTTGGGGTGGAGGGGTTTAAGGATCTGTATCTCGGGTGCAGGTGGGGTGCAAGCCTTGAGCCCTACAGTCCCAAACCTTCTTACTCTCTGTGTACATCGGAGTTGAAGTTGTCAGGCTAGGAGGCTTTGGGATTTTACTTGAATTCATCGGTTCTGAGGACCGGAGCGCTTGCGTACCATGTTGCGAGCCCGCCTACGGGCGCCATGTTAGGTTCTACAGGGTTCTGTATTCAGACCTGAAAAGAAATTCCGGCCGGAATCCTTGGAATCCTCCTGCAGAACATCGGAATTTGGCTTCTTGCTGCAGGCCTTCCGCTCAAGGTCGCCAGGCCGGTGTTGGTGGCAGTTTTTTTTGCCATGATGCGTCAAGGTTCGAGTTCGCAATCCACGGCTTCTGGGCTCAGGGGGACAGGGGTCTGGCTTACGCCTCGCTCCTAGAGTGCATGATTTGATGGGTTGTCGGTTGAGTTAGACCTCAGAGAAGCTACTGGGGTGGAGATTGGAAGGCTCAACTTGGCTTCAATCCTGGTGGCCTTTGCTTACCTTTCACTTGTTCGAAGTTTCGTTTTTTGGAGCGCGTCTTCCGCGTTTCACTCCAAGGATGATCAGGAGCATGCAGAATGCAGAAAGCTGCAGCAAACAGCTTTCTCCATGAAAAGTGCATGCGAGCAGACGGTGTAGTCTCGGACTCGTTTGGCCCACCTTTCGCGAAGATCCCGGGACGCCACGCACGACCCTACAGTGAGCCCTTGAACTCCCTAAGCCCTAGACCCTACACCCCTAAACAGAGCTCTGAGCCCTTGAGCAGGTGTATCCTCAAGGCAGGTCTACGCCTCGGCCCTGCAGAGCTTCTGCACCTTGAGCTGCAAAAAGAACTCGTTTCCAGACTTTCGTTTCCAGACCCTTCGTTTCCACTATGCAACGGCATTAGCGCCTTCGTTTCCTTGCACCTTCGTTTCCTTGCGCTGATGCAGTGCTCTTCTGACTTAGAGGGCTGCCGCGCGGAAGTACTAGGGAATGCCGAAGTTGGGATTTCGACGACAAGCGAGCCAATTTTCCTCAGGAAGCTGCTCTGCAGGAACATGTCCATTTCAGAAAGACTCCGTCTCCTACCCTCAGGCTTTTATGGCTTAGAGTATCGGGTGCAAACTTGAGCCTGAAACGCCAAAAGTCCAAAAAAAACCTATCTGATGACGCATCTGTCGAAGCGAGGCTCCAGCTCGGGTTGGGTCAGCTTCGTGCTCAGGGTCTCCAGGATCCATCCTGCAGAGTCAAAGCATACTCGCATTATTAGGGTTTAAGGGTTTTCGGAGTTTAAGATATATATCCATATACATATATATATATATTTTTTTTTTAAATAGGGGTTTCAACACAGAGGGTGCCCTTTCCCGTTGTTGGCTGCCAGGGCCTGGGAGCAGAAGCAGCCGGCCAACCGTCTTCTGAGCTTCTCAGCTGCAAGCGACTAAGACCGAGGCGTAAACCATACCGGGCTAGGTCCCGGAACTAGTATAGGGGCCTAACTCAATATCTATGCTATTTTGGGGGGGGACGGTTCCTTGTTATCGTCGTGCTATAGTATACCCCAGCCGGGGCCCGAACATGCCGGAAGCCCAATCATTTTTGTCCTGTGATTTGGCTGTGCAGAGTTGAGCTTGGGGTGGTGCGGGGTTAGTTACTTCCCCCTTTTATGAATCACCAGCTATTTAATAATAAAAGCACATTGAGGCGAATCCTCCCGAAATCATTCCTGCCCTTTAACACCTATTCTGAATTGGGGGGGAGGGTTTCGAGGCTCCAAATATAGAACACAGTAAGAGCACGAACAAGAGCAAGAGCATCAGCAAGAGCAAAGCAAAAGCAAGAGCGGGAGTAAGAGCAAGAGCAGGAGCAAAAACAGGAGCAACAGCCAAAGCCGGAGCAGGCGCACGAGATGCAGCAGAAGCAGCTTGCGCCAGAGCAGGAGCAAGAGCACAACCCCTCCAAAGTGGCAGTAGAGACAAACATATCCCCTAACACTAAAAACACTTTCCGAGCGTTTATGAGGGGAAGCCCCCGTCTAATATTAGGGGAAACGATTAAGACCTTCGGCTTAGTTTGTTCTGCACTGGAGTGAAACCTCACCCTCCGCCAAGTTAAGCCACAACCTGACGGAGGTACAAAGCAGCCCCCAGCCATCACCCACAAACTTCACAGCCTAAACTCAAGGACAACGTCACGAAGCCGACCCTTCTTGGGACTTCCCCGAGCCCCAAACCCTTGAAGGCACCTTTACCCTGAACCTACCCGTTCGACTTTCATGTTGGAGAGCTCAAACCGCACTTTCAAAGGCTCACCGGCTCCATCGAAGGCCGTGGGCTTCGCGTGTTGCCTGGTGCAGCTGACTGGTTTTTTTGTGAGAGAAGAAAATCTCTCTTTTTGTTGTCTCTCTCTCTCTCTACATATGTGTACATATATATACACACATACATAGCAAAATCATGGGTGTTACGGTTCAGTTCGGTACTGTTGGCATTGCCTGCAGTTTTCTGCGGGGATGTGACTGTCGGTGCGGTGCGGTTCGGTGCTGCCACCCTCTCACCTCCCACCTCCAACTTCCCACCTCCCCCCCTCGGCGTCATCTCCCACCTCCCACAGGGAGGTGGGAGCGGGAGCTGGGAGGAAGATGCAGGGTAGGTGGGGAGGTAGAAGGAGATGTGGAGCTAGCGGAGCTGGGAAAGGAGCAAGGGGCGGCAATTTGGAAGGTGGAATGGTGGAAGGTGGAGAGGGGGGAAGGAAGGCTTAGCCTTCCTACGGTGTGGGAGGTGAGTTGGGAGGGTTTCGCTTCGGTCCGGTTTGGTCCGGTCCCAGATGTTGCGGTTCGGTTCGGTACGGGAGCGGGCGGTTCGATACGATGCTCGGTTGGAGGCATTGTGGAAACGGCCATGTAAAGGTGCATATATGCATATGCGTATCTGCATGTGTGTATATATATATATAGATATGTATAGTAGTATAGTATATATGTACATATGTACATATGTACATATGTACATATGTATATATGTATATATGTATATATGTATATATGTATATGTATATATACACATTTTACATATTCCTCCAGGCGGAGGTTGTTCTAGAACTGCAATTTCGCTGTTTTTCAGTTTAGGGCACCAGTCCTGCAGCCGAAACTTGCAACTTGAGCTCCGAACCGGAAGCCGTATCCTGTAGCTGCACCTGCAAACCTTCAAGCCTCACCTCCAAAAAGGGCTGTTGGGGCCTTGGCCGTGATTCGATGATGGGAGGCGGCGGTTCCGGGAGGCTCGCTTGTATCGCTGTTGCCACCGTTGCTGCTGCTGTTCCCGTCGCGCGGCTGGGAGCTCGCAGGTAGTGTATTTACCTTGGGCCTTGATGGTGGCTTCGGGCTGAATGAAGCTGTTTCGGCATCGGAGCTTTTGTGGATTGTGGACTCAGGTATATCCTGTACACGGGCTTTAGGATGAGGATTTAAGTAGTTCTTAGTTTCGGGGCTCCCACCGTTTGTGCCGTCAGGCTTCGCTCTTCCGCAAGTCTTGGGAATCCGGGTTCAGTCGTGGTCATCTGTACCATTGCCGACTGTGGCTGCGATAACTGTTCGTGCGACAAGCGCTCTCTGAATTCCGAGTCCATAAATTCAGAGTCCCGGGTGTCGCATGTCGCATGGCTTCGGTTAGTTGACGACACCTTCGTCGGTTGCGGTAGCAAGGGCTCCTTGCCTGTTCTCTAAACGTCCCCTACCTCAGGTTCTATGCTGCAGCAAGTCAGTGGACGACGTCTTGGTACGTCCAAACGCTTTACTGCGACAGGCACGTGGGGATATGCACTGCGGGCCATGCTATGTTCGATAGTGCATTGACTTGCGGCCGAGACTAGGGCTGGGACTAGGGCTAGGGAATGGCACCAGTTGCAAGGGAGCGCGGGGGGGATGCCAGATGCAATCATCAGGGATGTCGACTGTAACGCGGGGAGATCCGCTAAGATGGCTTTGCCAAGTTGCCTGTCAAAAAAAAAGTAGCGCGAGGAGTCGGGGAGATGGCAACCGCATGCTTGAACTTCTCATGTCCACGTTGGAGTCTAGGGACCAGAACAGGACGGTTCTCCCGTCGGCTTAGCAATCTGCTGGAATTTTACCCAATCGCTTGTCCGAACCACTGGCGTCGATATGACACAGAAGGCCATCTGCTACAGATTCGTCAACGTGCTGCGAGTTCCCAAGACTTGTGCGAGGTGTGTCTTCGGCATTGTCATCCCTGCCTGCCTGTTGCAAGGTTGGGCACTCAGGCATGGTTTCAGAGTCCAAACTTCCTGCGCGGAGTTGTAGGAAGGATTTTCTATCCTGCACAAATCACAGTTTGAAACCCGGCCATTTTTGCTGTACACATTCTCGCAGCCAGATATTAGGCTGATAGTTCATTAGTTTGCGAGATACTGGTATTTCCTAGATGGGAAGCTTTCGGGCATGAGTTGCAATCATGGGACACATCTGGAATGCAACAAATTCCGAGTCTCCCGTATCTGGGGCTGGGAGAGCCCAACCGAAGCATCACGGACTCAATATCCGACAGCCACGAGGTAGGAATCTTTGGCTCATGCTTAAAGATCTCTCGAGTTATTCGGGCAGCATCTACGGGTATGAAGAGGTGGAGAACACTCCTCAGAGCCGTGAGATTCCAAAGAACTCTTACCCTTAAGCTCTCAACCTTAAGACCATCGTACCCGTTCCAAATTTGTAGACCCCGTCGCACAACCAAAACCGGGATCCTAAAACATCCTTCTGAACACTTTTCACGAGCTGCTGTTACAATTTCTGCGGAAGGGGCCCGACACACGCAGACAGACCCACACAGACACACACAGAGAGAGAGAGAGAGAGACAAAGGGCAGCCCCATGATAATGTACATCCCGGCATAGTTTAATGCTACAACAGAGCCCAGCCGGCCCTGTCCTAATCGTGAATGCTGTAAATGGCACGGAACTTGCCAAAAACCCTAAAGCCAAAACCCAAACCCTAAACCCAAAGCCTAAACCCTAAACCCTAAGCCCTACCCCAGGCTTCGAACGCCTTGCCTCCCTGGCCGTGCTCACGTGGTTGCGGTCACGGACGACTGTACCCTGGGCCTGGTCAGTCGGTGGTCGGTTTGGGCCGAGGCTAGGCTTAGGGATTAAGCCCTATAATTCTAGAACAGTATCCACAGCAAGCATCTTAGTAGTGTTTTTGTCTATAGGGTTTGGCGCACTTGGCTGTGTGTCTTTTTTGGACGAGTTTGAGATTCATAGGGGGTGAAGCCAAACCCCACATCTCCGCACCTCTGGATGGTGGAACCTTGGGTCAAAGCCTTCTAAATTGATGGCTCTGGAAGTGCGTTTAGTGCTTAGAGAGTGTGGGGGTTTAGGGTTTCGGGTAATTTGCTTGCGAGGTCCTACGGCTGAAACTGCCCAAGCGCCCTCGGACAGCACTACAAAAGCTTCGATTTACAATTTGGCGTTGCCGCCTCCTTCGGTTTGGGTGATTCCTACCTTCACTCGAAACGGTGCAGTGCATTCACCAGGTTCTCGTGGTTCGGATGTAGGGCTTCAGGTAGCGATCTCAACTGAACAAGTGCCATGGATGCACTGCTGCACCTTAAGCCTTCCAAACGAGGAAGCCCTAAACCCTGAACCCTTCGGAGTGAGGCTTGGGTTTGGGATCCGTCTGCGCAGCCTTGGCGATGCTCGCCGCCGCACTTGTCGAGGTGTTTGAGTGCTGAGTCAGTGCTGTGCACCTGTGCTGCTGAGCGCAAGCCTTCCGATGTTTTTGCTTTAGGATGAACTTGTGCTTTGGGATTGTAAGGGTTTGAGGTTACGGTCATTATGTTTAGTTTACCGCTTAGAGACTGAAGCCAAGCCGTTTTGATTCTTTGTCGGGTGCAGTAAAAAGCAGCTCTAGACAAGGCAAGTTGAAGCTTGAGTTGTCTCCGGCGATCACTGCACATCTGATGCAACGAAAGACGCACGCTGGTTGGCAGAGGCTCACCGGAATTATCGCCACTCTCAACCCTGCGAAAATGTTGACCTGTGCAGAGTAATGGTTCGGTCATGAAGCAAAACAACTAAAGTAATGGATTTGGGGTAACCCTAAAGAACAAGCTCCAGTGCTATTCGAGGCTTTGTGAGCTACCGCTTTTGAAAGGGTACGGACGTGGCCGGATTTGCCCGGTTACAACTAGAATGCTCACACCAAGTGTCATATTCGGTGGCCGCGAGGGAACACAACGCATTGGATCGTGCAGCCGCAGCTTGCAGCCAACGCTTGCCTTTGCGAGTGGCAGCCTCTCTTCTCCGGGCACATTGTCGAAGGTCTCTGGCGGTTTCTGGGAGTTTCCCATCGCTTCCACCCTTCTACCGTCATGGAGATGTAGTATAGGGAGAACGGGAACGAGAGAATACGTCGATGGGCGGGAGGACATCGAGGGGGGGCCTTGGCCTCCATTATGACCGAGGTCCTAGTGCTTAGTAAGCTGCTATGCTTGCGCAACAGTTTTGGTGTGGGCGGGTTTTGCGGGTCTCGAAGCACTTGCTAAGCTGCGAGCCCTTTCGAGACACTTGCTAAGCCCACTCTGGCTCCCCTCCCCCGAACATGATACAGCAGGTTATTCAAACTCCGCGACAGCGGCATGAGCGCTGGCAGTTTACCGGCCTCAGCACAAAGCCCGAAACCTGAAACTCTGTAATGTCCAAGTCCACCTGCTTGTCCTGAGCATTCCTTTCGGACTAAACTCTAGACCTGGCACAGGTGGCTCGGCGCGACTGGGCACCGCGACTTCCTGGTGCGAGATGTTATATGGGGAAGGGCCTAGCGTTCGGCGCGTTTTCGGATGTTTGGCTTTGGGTTTTCGGGGTTCTAGGGTCGTTGGGCATATGTTGGGAGCTTGAGTTTTAGAGCTTCGGGGCCCTCCCAACCGATCAGATGCCGATGGGACGCTTGAGTTTCTCCACTCCGTATCAGAATTTCATTTCACCCGCAGGGTAGGAGTGGTGGCAAAACTAGCATTCGGGATCTCAACTTCGATTGTCAGCAGATTCTCGCTTAGTTGGATACTCAAACGAAACCCCAAATATCTGTACATGCTCAAGGCTAAAGATGTACGGATCCGAAGCCCTTGAGCCTCAACCTGAGCCACGAATCTGTCAGGAGAACCGGAGGTCTCATCACTAAGTGTCGCCTGGCTGCTCCCGTCACTTGGCATATATCCGGTCCGCTCACGAGCGTCGGTCCATATGGCTGCATGTTGATGCCGAGGCCTCTCTTGCTTTCGTTATTCTCGTCCCTGATGATGTTTCACGGGAAAAGCACTCAGGCAATTTGCCCTTATCGCAGCTGGTGAGGCGTTTATCTACCCGGTCGGCAGCCCAGGATCTGGCGAGGTCATTCACGTCAACGACAGCCATGCGAGTGACTCCATCTATTGCCATGCTCTTTGCGCTAATCTCATGTCCTAGATGGTATCTAGAGCACAAGCTCCGCAGACCCCTTTGGGCGTGAGTGAGAGCTGTAAGTTTCGAAGATGCCACAAGCCAATAAAGGTAGCCTGTACTCTCAGCGCCGAATCTTCTGAGGCATCCGCCGAGTTCCTCTCCTCCTCACCTTTTGCCTATGGCCTGGGTTGCGCAGCACAGGCAGGGCAGCAGACGGGGCACGAAGAGGTCAAAGTCGTCAAAGTCGTAGTCATAGTTGTAATACTAGTAAACCTTCAATAATAGTACATAGTAAACGGCAGCAGTAGCAGACCAACGGAGAAAGTAATGGCACTCGTGACAGTCGTAGAGATAGTAGGAAGAAGGTTCTCTTTGGCAGTAAGTTTGCTCCTACCCCTACGCCTACTCCTATTACGACGACGACATCGACGACGACGACGACTACTACTACTACTACTACTGTATGCTGAGACCCATGATCCATGGGATTGGTGACGAATGTGAACGGGGTGTATCTAGTCGTGAAGATCCTGATAGAGACAAAGCCGGATGGTGATGAGGCCTCCGAGTTTGTTTGCATTGACCGTGAAGAGCGGATGTAGGCAATGTAGGTCATGGTGGTGAGACTTTTGTTGGCATGAACATCACAATCACCAGCCGCAGCAGCATCATCACCATGATTATTCTCCTCACCATGTTGCCATGACAAAGGTGACTGCGTGAAGTTTGTGATGATGGCCATGGATGGCGATGAGCAGAATTACTGGACAGATTTGGCAATTTCCCGTGCTGCAGCAATCCCGAAGGAGATAAATCACCCGCACACAGGAGTCTTTGCCGTAGCAGCATGCGCAGTAGAACAGCCGACAAATCGAGCCAAGTCAAGCAACTCTTACTGCCAATGGCCCTTTGACCGAAGGCTGGGGCTGTTGTGCTGTTGGGTCTTTGGCTGGGCTACTTGAAGGCCAAGTGCAGGATTCCTGTTTCAGGGCGTCCGTGGCACTGTGTCTGCTTCCCAGAAGACCGTACTTTTCTGTGGCCGTCAAGGTTTGCTCGCTGCGGTGTTTGGGGCGCATCAATGGAGTCATGAATCATGGACTCCCTTTTTGGGGGACTCGGCTAGGGCTGGGGCGACAGAGGCAGCCTGTCTTGCATGTTAGGCCATGAGCAGACCATGCGGAAAAGATAGTCTGATGGAAGGTGAGCCAGCCGGCGTAATTCTCGCTTCGAACTTCTCATTCCTGCACCATAATTAAGCACTGCGCTAGGCGGTGGCAAGAAACGTTTGCTGCGCCAGCATGTCCATGCCTCCTGTCTCGCATGGCTGGCAATTGCTGTTTCGTCGCAGCTTAACCCGCAGAGTACGGCGACAGGCATGGATTCCGGATGGCTCCCCAAATCAAGGGCACTATGCCCCTTGGCTGAAAACGCTGTATTTCGGCTTTGAGATCTCGACATATCTCGACTTGTTTGGAATCATTCGGCATACTAGCTTCTTCAAGTCGACGCTCAGGTAGATCACGGCCTTATAGTTCATCCACGAAGACTCTGAAAGCTCTCCGTCCAACATGCAGCTGCGAGCACCAGCCCCCCGAAAATGAAAATGCTCCAAGGCCATGCCTCCGACCCCTGAGCCGCCTGTAGACTTTGAAGCAGTACCCCATTCAGCTCAAAGCCGCCATGGGGCAAGTGCCCACGGTGTCTCGAGTTTGCACTGGAAACCAACTTGTAGACTTCCGCTGCTTCGCTGGCTCAGGACTTGTTCTACCTGTGTTTGGGTGGAGCCGGGCTGGTCGCGGGCGGTCTCTTTGTGCTTCTGCCGCGCCTTGCCTCAGCTGAGGCTTCAAAGACCTGCATAAAGGAGTCTTTGCAGGATCCACCCAACTCGGTGCAGACTCGTTAACAGCACCCAGCCGGAATTGTCTACACGATGCTCATCAAGAGAGGAATCCCGAACAGAGAAACATGACACCTCTGCATGGTGCAAGGTTCCCAACATTTTAGCCAGCACGGCTGATTCTGCAGCTCTCGGGGGTCCATCATGCGTCAACAGCATCCTCGGCCGGGCAAGTGTCTGGGCTATTGCAGCATGTGTGGTTTAGTAGTATTTGGCACAGTACAGTACGACCCAGTACAGCATAGTGAAGTGCTGCCTAGTATAGTCTAGGATAGCATGGCATTGCGTGGTATAGTATAGTATGGTATAGTCTGGTTTGGTCGAATCCAGTATGGTATAGAGTACTAAGCAAGTACAGTAGAGTAAAGACTATAGTTTTAGAGTATAGAGTATAGTATAGTATGGTATAGGGCGTATGGCCGTATAGCGCAGGAAAGAATGTGTCGTACAATTTAGGTTAGTGAATAGTTTGATAGTGCAGTATGGCATAGTAGTAAAACACAGTGAAGTATAGTGAAGCATGCAGAGTGCACTAGGAGCTATTGTAGTCTAGCGTAGTGCAGGATAGGAAAGGACAGTGAACGATGGTATAATGAAGTCTAGCATGGTATATTACGGTATGTGTCAGTGTAGTGCATCGTAGCGTAGTGTATCGTAGTGTATTGTGGTGTAGTGTAAAGTATAGTACTGTCTAGTAAACCTTGTAACAGTATCGTACAGTAGGCAGTGTATAGTATATATAGTACGTGGCAAGGTACATAGCAGAATGCATTGCATTCAATACACAGTGCAAAAAATGTAAGTAAAAGTACGTGGTACATAGTATACAGCATGGAAAAATGCACTATAGTGCAGCATAGTGAAGTATAATTTAGTCTAGTGTCACGATAGCAACTGCACAGGCATAGCAGTGATTCAGTGATAGAATGACATAATGAATAGCACAGGTATAGTACCAGAGCAGAGTATGAGTTTAGCAAGAAGACAGGTTGGGAATCGCATAGTAGTATAGTAACAGTATAGCAACAGTACAGTGATAGCATAATACTGTATAGTATACCATACGATATTGTAGCTTATAGTACTGTTAGTCCAATTTTTGAATGGTATAGTAGCAGTAGAAAAAGTATATCAAAAGTATAGTATAGTGCTAGCTAGTAAAACGATAGTACACTAGTAGTGTGGCTATTGTATAGTATTAGCATAGTTATGTTTAGGACCAGCACAGCCATAGCATCGTAATAGCAAGTCCATCGGTAGGTTTAAGTAGCAGCATGGGAGTCGTAAGGCAGTAGTACAGTCATAGTCTAGTAACAGTATCGTAAGGGTACGGTACTGGTACCGTACAGTCACAGTACTACAACAGTACAGTACGCACATAAGAAAAAGAATAGTAGAATATAGTACCGCAAGTGCAGTGTAGCATAGTTATAGTGCTGCGTATGGTTTGAAGAAGGGCACGGGACAGTGCATAGCATCGTGTTCGCAGCTTGTTGATAGTAGAATAGGGTATTTATCGGGTGTGGTATTGTATAGCTAAGATAGATACTGTAGTGGATTGAAGCGTGCTGAATAGCCTTTCCTTGTAATTGTCATCGTCATTGTCAAAGTCATAGTCATTGTATGGTGTGGCGTGGTGTTCGGCATGCAAGCAGGGTTGAGAATCGAAGGTCACGTGGAGGCAGTTCTTCGTGGTCATGAAAAATGGGCGCAATTGCCAAAGAAGCACCTTGTGCCCGCGTTCGGTCGACAAAATACTCTGTTCAAGATTCTGTTTCAAATAAATACAGTACTGGTACTGGGCAAATCGCCTTAATCATATACAAGTCCATTCAATAATATTATGAGATGTTTTAGACCATTTCCTCAGTCTTCTACAAAATGAATAAACGTACGTCTACCAATGAAAGCATTAGTGGAGACTATGTTCTCCTTTGGTTCCTCGATGGGGATGTTTTCATTACTTTCGCCGGCTATTGGTATATTAGTCTCTGGCAATTTGGGGGCGGTGGGGGGCCTTGGGGTTTAGGGTATTATGGATTATTGATGTACTTAAACAAATATTCTGTAATTATAATATCAGTTTCTATTTAGGAACTATGAAAAGAATATTATATTCGAAACAATCGTTTTTTCTTTTTGAATTTACATGAAGGGTATTGCGAAGATAAATATTTTGGTCTAATTGTTAAATAATTAAATGGATAAATAATTTTTTTCTTTTTGAAGATGGGTATTTCGAATGGAAGGGATGGGACGGAAGGCACGGGACGGAGGAGATGGCAAGGAGGGGACGGGAGGAAAGGGGCGGAGCGGAGGGGATGGATGGGACGGCAGGGATGACGGAACGGAGAGGGTGGGATGGAGGGGCGGACGAAGCAGAGAAGACGGGGACGGGACGACAGGGACGAGATGGGGAAATATAATGAAGGGGATGATATGGAGGCTAGGGATAAGCCCTATCGTTTTTTCTTGTATTGATGATTAAAGAGATGGCAATAAAAGAAATGGAGGAGAGAAAAGAAAGGATAAGGAATGGAGATATAGAATGAAAGAAGAGGGGTACGCCTAATAATGTATATTTAGGGCCCTTGTACGGTATTTGTATAAATATATTTCTAGGCCCGGGTAGGGATTAATATATATCGCGGGGGGTTCGAATATACATTATTATTGGCTGGCTTTTGTTGATTAGATTCGTATAGAAAACTTCGTCGCCAGTTTGTTATAGGTGGCTCTGAAGTTTGTCGTAGGGACTCTGTGGAGGGGTCACCGTTGCGGCATTTTCTGGGTGGGTGTGGGTCGGGAGACTATCGGGAGGGGAGGGGGTTGCAGGTGGCTCTCTCAGAACGAGTTCGTAGCTCGCCCTGAAGCACATGTGTTGGTAGTGCCCAGGCGTTACGTGAAGCGGGGAATGTATAAAGACAGGGGGGTTGGTACCAAGCCCCCCCCTAAATATACATTAATTGTGCCCGGTCCCTGAGGCAGGACCGGGCTAGTATTGGGCAGAGTATGGGCAGTGTATGCGCAGCATCTGGAGAAGGGTTCTCCGGCACTCTCCAGTAGTCTGAGACTGAGATGTCGCGACAGGCGGGGAATGTATAAGGACAGGGACTTTGCCACCGACACTCCCCCAAATATATATTAAACTGCCCCTTGCAGGACCGGCTTCCCTTGGCGTTGTCCTTTTAACCCTTCCCCAGAGTGTTTGTACGTTTAGGTCCGGGAAGGGTACTGGCCACGAAAACCTATAGTTTATAGTACGAGCCAACCCAGACGAGAGACTCTCTCGTCTGGGTTGGTTTACACGGAATCAAGACACGTGGGGAATGTATAAGCACAGGGGCTTTGCCACCAACACCCCCCCAAATATACATTTATTACGCCTGGCACGGCCGGGGGAATGCCGCGGGTCTTGCAGATTATAATGGATTCTCCAGGCACAGCTTTTGCTCACGACCAGCTGAAAAAAAAGCTTTCTGTGCAGTCAGTGTGTGGTGCGAGTCTGCTCATGTCCATGTGGTGTCCATGTTAAGCTCATGTTCATGCCCATGTTAGTCCCATGTTGGAAAACCGCCTCGTCGAAGGACCCCCCAAACCCCCTCAATATATACATTCCCGCGGCCCCGAAAATGTATATTCGAGGGGGGGCCTACGTTTTTCGAGTTGGGCGTAGGGGTGAAAGAAGGGAGGAGGAAGAAGATGGTGGCAAAAGAATGGATGATATAGATGAAGGACGGAGTGAGGGGAAGTCATTAGATAAGAGGTTGAATATCTAGAATGCCTCGGTATGTAGTAGGTACTAACTTTTTATTATCTAGAATCGAAGTATATAGATGACGAATAATTAATGAAACTTTGGTGGATAATATTCTTGATAAAATTGATATTTATAATATTAAGATTCTTCGTTCTTAATCTCTAGACCTATATCTCTCATTCTTCTTCTCTAGGTCTCTCTCTCTTTCTTATATCCCTTTCTTTTTATTTCTATATTTTTTTCTTTCTAATTTTCTCGTATCTAAATCTCGCACATTCTCTTCTTATTTCTTGCTATCTCTTTTTCTATATTTTTTGTCTCTATATCTCTCTCTCTATATTTTCGGAATTCTTTCTATTTATTCTATATCTTTATTTTCTCTTTTATTTCTCTCTATCTCTATCTTGTTCTCTCTCTTATCGTTCTCTGCGAAAGGTGTCGATAAGGGCGATGATGAAGAAAGGGACGACAACTCCTCCATAATTATGTGCCTAATAAAATAACGAGATAAAGAAGATAACTTCTTGTGGCCATAAATCCCCCCCCCCCGGAACGAGATATCTTTCTTTCTCCTCTTGCTCTAATTCAAATTATATACAACTACATAGCCATAGCGATATATATTTTTCTGTCCCCCCCACCCCGCTTGGAACGAGATATCCTACGGCCTAGGTCTTCCAGTCTAAAGCCTAAAACCTTCATATAATTAATAATACGAATTTTTACTTGGAATCATTTGCATACACAACGATTACCCGTGCCAGTCTTATAGTAATACAAAAATTATTCGAAATAACATCAAGAATCATATTAAATAATACCTTTAACCATCTTGTACTATTTATTATGAAAATATTGTAAGTATTATCTAAATCTTCTTAATTAAAGACGGTCGAGGCGAGCGATAAATCTTAATATAACTCTTTATATTTAAGAATCATAAGGAGAAAGAAAGCACAGAATACATAACATGCAATTATTTTTATATATATCTATCATTAGAGTAATCGAATATCTCAAAAAAGCTTATATATCTATTCCTCTTATTCTTTCTCTTTCTTCTTATCTCTCTATAATTTCTCGCTGCTCAATTTTATATCTCTAAATATCTATCTATCTATCTACTTAATTCTAATCTTTTTATAGAAATATATCTTTAAACCTCTAACTCTCTATATCTATATTACTTAATCATATATTCATTTCAATATTTGTTTTAAATTTTTTATTCAAATAAATATTTCTTTCCACGATAGTTTTCGACTCACTTCTTTATCCAATATAAATTATATAAATCAATAATATTTCAATAAATTCAAATAATCTTAAAAATCTTAGACAGAATAT